TTTTTGAGATGGAGTCTTGCTCTGTTGCCCAGGCTGGAGTGCTGTGTCATGATGCCAGCTCATTGCAACCTCTGCCTCCTGGGTTCAAGCAGTTCTCCCTGTTCAGCCTCCTGAGTAGCTTGGATTACAGGCACATGCTACATTACCCAGTTAATTGTTCCGTATTTTTTGGTAGAGACAGAGTTTCACTGTGTTGGCCAGGCTGGTCTTGAACTCCTGAACTCAAGTGATCTGCCTGCCTTGGCCTTCCTAAGTGCTGGGATCGCAGGCATGAGCCACAGCACCTGGCTTCCATTTCAGTCTTGTTTGCTCACTTCTTGTCCTCTCAACAGCTTTCTGCCTTCCTTTCCTCCCTTTCTGCCTATTACAAAAGTGATAATATGAAACTATACCGTTTTTAAAACGTTTTCTGCTGGGTGCCATGGCTCAAGCCCATAATCCTAACACTTTGGGAGGCTGAGGCAGGCAAATCGCCTGAGCTCAGGAGTTTAAGTCCAGCCTGGGCAACATGGTGAAATACCTTATCTACTAAAAATACAAAAAATTAGCTGGGCATGATGATGTCCACCTGTAATCCCAGCTACTCTGGAGGCTGAGGCACTGGAATCACTTGAACCCGGGAGGTAGAGGTTGCAGTGAGCAGAGATCATGCCACTGCACTCCAGCCTGCAACAGAGGAAGACTGTTTCAAAAAAAAAAATTTTTTTTGATCCCAGCTCCCACTTACCAGAAGAATTCTTTAATGTATTGGGATGTATTTTTGGGGGGATTAAAAAAATTTTTTGAAGCCTTAAAATTTACAACAAATAAAGTCTTTGTGTTGAAAATTCCGAACAGTGTAACAAAGAATAAAAAGGCTGGGCACAGTGGCTTACGCCTATAATCCCAAAAACTTGGGCGGATCACTTGAGGTCAGGAGTTTGAGACCAGCCTGGCCAACATGGTGAAACCCCATCTCTACTAAAAATACAAAAATTCACTGGGCATGAGTTGGGTACCTGTAATCCCAGCTACTTGGGAGGCTGAGGCATGAGAATTGCTTGAACTTGGGAGGCGGAGGTGGCAGTGAGCTGAGATCAGAGGAGTGGGGGGAAGGGAAGGAGGGAAGGGAGGGTGGGGAAGGGAAGAAAGGAAAGAAAGAAGGAAGGAAGGGAGGAAAGAAAAGAGAAGCCCTTCAAACTGTGAAGTGGGACAGTGGGATTCAGACTGATAGATGCCAATGTGTATTTTCCCTGGAGGAATGTACCTTCATTCTGTATCTCAAAGAAGATTCATCAGAAGAGTATCAAGGTCAGTGGGCAAACACACTAGGAAACAGGACACCAAGGATCATTATCAGTATAACAGCAGATAATGGAATTATTAGTCTCATGTTATAAAATCACTGTGTTTACCTGGTTTGAAGAAATAAAAGTTAACGTGAAAGGATTTATATGTAACATGTCACTATAAAGAGCCACCTAGCAGATTTGGGAAAAAGATAAGGAACTATAAAACTTCTAGAAATGAAAAATAAAATAATCAACATGTAAATCTTAGGCTAGAAACAAGCCTTGAAAGGATGAAACTGAACTTAAACTTCCTACAAGAACAAACTCATTCTTTAATAAAAAACCAAAAGGCTTGATCCAGGTCCCAAGTCATGTTGTCAGCACTTAAATTCTCTCTTCCTTCTCAGCATTACTTTCTTGATGCTCCAAGATAGTTGCTAGCAGTTCCTAGGTCTACAGACTTCTGTTAAAGTTCTAACTTGAAATAACAAGAGTCATGTTCCCTAACTTAGCTCCCTTCTTTTCTTTTTTTTTTCTTCCTCAGTGGTTTGGCAGAGCCAGTGTGCTCCCTCTGTGACTCTAGCCAAAGAAGCGCCCTTATTTTCTGTCTCTGCTGGTGTATTTGCAGAACAAATTCTTGAGTGAATGGTGCAGTCAGCTGTCAATCTTCAGCCTCCTTAGGTAGAGAGCAGGCAGCTGGGTAGTCTTTGCCTTCACACCAACCACTCACTGATGGGATTTTTCTCTTTGTAGTTATAGGCTATCCTTCAGTGCCTTTGTTTGAACGTTACATAATTGATGATGAAAAAGCTTACTACATGTTGGCTGGAATTGTTTTTGACCACAGCTTCAATGACAGCAGTGGATCTTTGCCTCTTGCGGTAAGAACATTCTTTAACAGTCGTGCTGTGCTACCCAGGCTTGAGCCTGTGTTCCTTCTGCAGTCTTGTTGGCTGACCTGCCCCCTGCTTTCCTCTGTGGCAGCTTTGTCATCCTGTTGTCAGAGGAGATACACAAAGGCTCCTGTGTTTCATGTCTTACAACCTAGACTTTGAGGTTCCTTCCAGTTTTCAAATTCTTTAGAAGACTTGTTCTGAGCAAGCCTTTATCCTGGGGGTTCAGGGTGGGATATATTAATCTGCCTGGTGACAGAAGCAGACTACAACATGAGGCTCCACAGACGTGAGTCCCAGTCTTGCAACTCACTAGCTACGTAACCTTGGGAAAGTTATCAACATTTCTGGTCCTCGGTGTCCTTATTGTTTGTGAGGACTAAATGAGTTTTATGCCTATTAAGTGCTTAGAACAAAGCCCAGAACAGAATAACTTTCCTGAAGGATTATTGTTGTCATTACTAGTAATCTCATGAACTTAAGATATGGTATGAGTGTGAGTTTGTTTAAGGAAAAGTTAATGTTGTAAACATGGGACTATTTGGTTTATGTTCTGGGAAGGGAAAACCACTCATGTATAGCTTTTGTGCTGTACAGTGTATCTGATGATTAGTTGTTAGAACTTTTGTGTGTGTGTGTGTGTGTGTATCGACAGGGTGGGAGTGCAGTGGCATGATCTCAGCTCACTGCAACCTCCACCCCGGGGATTTAAGTGATTCCCCTGCCTCAGCCTCTCGAGTAGCTGTGACTACAGGGGTGTGTCACCATGCCCGGTTAATTTTTTTTTATTTTTACTAGAGATGAGGTTTTACCGTGTTGGCCAGGATGGTCTCAATCTCCTGACCTCATGATCTGCCCACCTTGGCCTCCCAAAGTGCTGGGATTACAAGTGTGAGCCACCACACCCAGCCTAATTGTTAGAACTTGTATGGACTACTGATAGATGGCGAGAGATATGTTAGTAAAATAACCAACAATGTTTTTCAAGCATTTATTAATGCTAGGCAAATCACAGGTACCATCTGGCTCGATCCTACTGTAGCCTATGAGGTAGGTGTTAATATGATCCCCATTTTACTGATGTGGAAACAGGAATGAAGATTAAGTAATTTGCCCAAGGTGACAAGGCTGTTCCGTAGGAGATTTGGGGTTAGAATCTGGGTGATCTGACTCCAGAGCCCCTGCTGTTGATTGTTATGCAGCACACCATTCCTGAAGGGGGCTCAGGAGCAGCTGTGTGCTTCCCAGGCTGGCAGCAGGGACAATTTCCAGAGTACACAGGGAAGACCACTGTTGTAGCATGCTCCCCGAAGGGACACCTGCTAGTGTGGGCCCCCGTTACAGCTGACATCAAGCACAGCTTTGCTCTGTCCTGTGCCTTTGCTGAGTTTCAGGATTTTATAACCGAATTTGTTTTCTCTTTGTTCTTTATAGGTTAAGTATAGTTTGCGCTTCAGTTACATTCAGAAGAATTTTTTCCTGGAGAAGATTATATTTTTTGAAGATGACGTGTATGGCTGGTGCACATCCTTTCTTTACCCTCCCAATCCACGCCAAGAACCCCGGGAATTTGCATTTTCTGATGGGAGAAGTCCTGGTGAGAAAGCCCCGAAGTATGTGTGTGTGTTGAGAGCTTGTCTGTGGACAGGCTCAGTTTCTCAGTCCTGTAATCCCAGCACTTTGGGAGGCTGAGGCAGGCGGATCACCTGAGGTCAGGAGTTTGTGATCAGCCAGACCAACATGGAGAAACCCCATCTCTACTAAAAATACAAAATTAGCCAGGCATGGTGGCACATGCCTGTAATCCCAGCTACTTGATAGGCTGACGCAGGAGAATTGCTTGAACCTGGGAGGTAGAGGCTGCAGTGAGCAGAGATCACTCCATTGTACTCCAGCCTGGGCAACAAGAGCAAAACTCCGTCTCAGAAAAAAAAGTACAGCCACTTTTGTCCTGCTTTTTTTGTTGCTTTTGCTGCAAGAACATTTGCTAAACATTTCAGAAGAGGTTGAAGGAGTTACATTTAGAAATGTGGCATTCAGTAAAATGCTTACATTTTAGAGTAAGTAAAAACAGTAGTTATTGATTTGGTTGTAACAATAGTGAATTGTTTGAAGGAAGGATGGAAACATTTTACTGGAACAAAGAGTGCAGGGACCAATGGGTGGTGTAGCCAATTTAGCAGTGACATTTCTCATCATGGAGGAAACATGATTTGTGCTTTATGGATGTTTAAGATTTTCTTGGCTGCCCTTTTCCACTTGCAAGTACCACTCCTATTCTTTTTATTTATTATTATTATTATTATTATTATTATTATATTTTTGGGATGGAGTTTCACTCTTGTTGCCCAGGCTGGACTGCGATGACATGATCTTGGCTCACTGCAACCTTCGCCTCCGTGATTCAAATAATTCTCCTGCCTCAGCCTCCTGAATAGCTGGGATTACAGGCGCCTGCCACCACGTCTGGCTAATTTTTTTGTATTTTTAGTAGAGACAGGGTTTCACCATGTTGGCCAGGCTGGTCTCGAACTCCTGACCTCAGGTGATCCACCCACCTCAACCTCCCAAAGCGCTGGGATTACGGGCGTGAATCACCACTCCTGGCCCTATTCAATCTTTTTAAACACATGTGCTGTTCAACACATGTCACATTGTGTGATCTATGTCTAACATACCTCCCTTACAATCTCCACTGACCGAGTCCTTTGCATTTCATCCATTTCATTTAATTTAATGAAGAGGAAACAGAAGATAGTCATCCATACTCTCAGGACTCTGTGCCTGCCTGTGCAGCTCCAAAGAGTCTGTTCCTGCTTGATGGAATCCTTGAACTCTGTCTGGCCTGGTCATTGACTGATGCTTCACTTTGATTTTATTCACTCTGACTGATGCTTTAGAGCTTGCCTTGATTCTTATTCTGTCCTCACAACCCCATCTGCACTGCTCCCAGCTCTTGTTCTTCAGGCCTTGTGGTGCTGGCTGGCCCTCTCCCTTTCCTCCTCATGAATCTCCCTAACTGCATTTCTAGGCTGGGAAAAGCTCCTTCTCCCTTCCTGTCATTTAGGATAAATGGACAGAAAATTAATGCCAGAAGGTTGGAGTTTTTCCAGGAGTTCCTATTTGTCCCAGGGGCTGGCATGTGGTCCCAAAGCCAGGTCCAGACTCCTGGCTGCTGAAGTCCTCTCTCCGTGGGCAGCCATGCTGACTTTCTGCTCTGCCACCCTCTGTTGACGGTGAAAGAGAGCCTTGCTGAGTGGCTACTCTCTATCGGCTTGCTCTTTCCCATGCAATGGGGTCTAACTGTACCTGACAGAGCAAACGCCTAAAACTTGGCACCCGGTGCTCCTTGGACCTGCCTGCATTGAAATGAGTGTTGCTTGTGATAAGGACTGTTTTTGAGACTTAGTAGCAAAATTCACTGACCATAAACCGTGGACTACAACAGCAGTAATACCTCAGAAATAGGTCACATCAGGTCAGGAAGACTGTCTTTCAAGTGCTTTGAGTTTAACTACCTCATACTTGCTATGTGATCAAAACTACAGAAGAGGTGCTCTTTCCCCAACATCTGAATACTAACGGGAGGAGATGTGTCCCTGCCTCAAAAGATTCTTATATTGGACATCTTTTTTTTGAGACAGAGTTTCGCTCTTGTTACCCAGGCTGGAGTGCAATGGCACGATCTCGGCTCACCGCAACCTCCGCCTCCTGGGTTCAGGCAATTCTCCTGCCTCAGCCTCCTGAGCAGCTGGGATTACAGGCACGCGCCACCATGCCCAGCTAATTTTTTGTAGTTTTAGTAGAGACGGGGTTTCACCATGTTGGCCAGGCTGGTCTCGAACTCCTGACCTCAGGTGATCCACCCACCTCGGCCTCCCAAAGTGCTGGGATTACAGGCGTGAGTCACCGTGCCCGGCTATTGGACATCTTTTATTTTGCCTGCCCAGGCTCCTTTACTCCATTTCCAGATCATATAGGCATCACTGTCTGCTAGCCATGGGTCTCCCTTGTGACCTTCCTCTCTTTCTTCCACACTGTGACATGAGGACTCTAGGGATACATTTCCTACTACTGTCTTTCTTTATGAATGGCTAGCCATGATCCATCTGAATTACCAGTTGTTGCATCTTTACCTTTCTTAATTTCTTGATATTCACATTTTCTCATAGGATACAACAAAGAAGGCTTCCTGGCCACACAGCATGCTGTGGATAAAGCCATTATGTGGCACCATGCTCACAATGTGACGACCAACATGTTTGAGAGTCTCAAAGTACTTGTGAAGAGATTCCCACATGGACCCTATATCTATGACAGGTTCTTCCTAGTCCTTCAGAATGAGTTTTCTCTGTTCCTCATGCTCAGCTTCATCTGTATTGAGCTCATCATCATCAATTCCATTGTACTGGAGAAAGAGAAAAGACTGAAGGTAATTCCAGCTACTTCAGGTGTATGCCTCTCCTGGGACAGGGGTGTGGGAAAGCTGCTAATGAAAAATGACCAGAATAGGAATGAGGCCAAAGCAGGTAGGAGGTTGCTTAGGTGTCTGAGTAAATTCCAGGGTGGGTTAGAACTTGGAAGGTTGTTCACAATTTTAACCTGCTTGCAATCTAGGTGATGCCATCTCTGTCATTACATGAATCATTGCCTTTAGTCTGAGAATGTCCAGCCTGGTCATTCCCGTTTGGCCAGCACACTGCCTCCCACTAGGAAGGTGTGTGAAAATGTTTGTGGAATGACTGATGATAAGAGATCTACCCTTCACCATTCACTGCCTTGCTTGATGCCCTGAAGGCTGACCTGCAGGGATTCCAGCACATGTTCCCACGAGGAATCTGGCGGGACCTCAGAGGGAAGAAGTAGGAGGATGAAGTCCCTGTGTTGACCCCAGGCCAACAGGGAGAGATCCATACAGGTCATTTTGTGTGGGTGACGGGGAGCCCTCCGGGGAGTCTCGGCCAGCGAGAGGGTCCCAGCCTGGAAGAGGGGGTGCGCAGAAATAAAGAGAGACAGAAAGATGGGGTCTGGAGGACTGAATAGGCAATGCCTATGCAGCAAGTTTATTTGTGTCCAGGGTTCCAATACATACCTTTAGATTATAAGGATTGATGTCAGTGCACATTATGTAAGCTATACAATAAGGGGAACAGAAAGTTGCAAAAAGCAAATGTCAGCAGAGGGGGTACATAATTGTGGGCCATAAAAGGTAAGCAGGTGAGGGCCGGGCGCGGTGGCTCACGCCTGTAATCCCAGCACTTTGGGAGGCCGAGGCAGGTGGATCACAAGGTCAAGAGATCGAGACCATCCTGGTCAACATGGTGAAACCCCGTCTCTACTAAAAATACAAAAAATCAGCTGGGCATGGTGGCTCGTGCCTGTAATCCCAGCTAC